GTCTTAACTGGAATTAACATTGGACATCGAGTTTTTATTTCAATGTTGTCTTTAACAACTTCAGACAACAAAATTCTATATAAGTTCAAAAGTAGACAATTTTCCCTGGTGGTTTGTTTTGCTATGACCATAAATAAAAGTCAGGGCCAATCGTTGAAAAGGGTTGGGTTGTTTTTATGATAACCGGTTTTCTCACACGGTCAGTTATATGTTGCTTTATCCAGAGTCAAGAGTAGAGAAGGATTGAAGTTATTGATTTTAGATAAGGATAATAATTTTACTAATAAAATTTTCAATGTTGTGTTCAAGGAAGTATTTCAACACCTATGTTAAACTCTTATGTTTGTATTACTTATCAAATAAAGTTATACCTGTTTACTATCCAGAATCAAATGCTTTTTTACAGTTATTAATTTTTTTGGTGTATAATTTTTATAAACTTACCGTCCGTGGTTTCCACGGGTTATAACCTAGTTATAAATATTACTGAAATTTAAAACGTCCCTTTTGTCATACACAATGTACAACTCACAAATCAGGATTTTATAAACTGCATGTGACCCCTCAGCTGTATCTCTTACCTTTACATGCCAACCAATAGACTTTGCATTCACTTGAAGGTCATCCATCACCAAAATTGAATCAATACTATTCATCTCAATCATAATGCTAGACATATTGCATTGATTTTTTTTAATTAAAAAACACAATTAAATCCTGTTGAAAAACCAAACAGAAATCATTTTTGAAAAAATATTGAGTAAATTACTGAAATCGTTCCTGTGATTTGGTCAAAATTGCACATTTGGTCCCTAACTTTTTTTTTTGCACTCGGATCGTCCCTATGGTTTGATTTTGTTGTATTTTTCGTCCCTATGATTTGATTTTGTTGCATTTTTCGTCCCTTACATACATAAAGTTAGGGACCAAACATGCAACTTTTACCAAACCATAAGGACGATAAACGCAACAAAAGCAAACCACAGGGACGATCCGAGTGCAAAAAAAAAATTATGGACCAAATTTGCAATTTTGATCAAACCACATGAACGATTTCAGTAATTTACTCAAAAATATTATACCTTTTTCGCTCAACTGAAAAAAAAAAAAAAAAAAAAAAAAAAAAAAAAAAAAAAAAAAAAAAAAAAAAAAAAAACTCACAACATGCAGGAGATCAATGTCCTCCGGTAGTAGGGTACGTATTAAATGCTTCACACACACACACACACACACACATATATATATATATATATATATATGAAAAAACATCATAAATGGTCCCTGTATTTTCCCAGATTCTGAAGTTTAGTCCCCGTGGTTTAAAAATCTCATAAATGGTTCCTGTGCTTTCAAAACTTTTTACAGATGGTCCTTATTGCTAACTCCGTTAACTTTTGTCCGTTAATTGAGGGGCATTTTCGTCATTTCATACCACAGGGACCATTTATGATCTTTTCAGTTATTTTTTTTAAAAGAAAAAAACTAAATATAATTATTTAATATATAAAATCTCTCTCTCTCTCTCTCTATCTCTCTCTCTCAGATAAACAATCATAAAATGGTAGATCGTTTCTATCCAAATAAAATGTCAGAGTTCATTAAAGAAGAAGACCCACCTGAAACCACCACAAATCCCCTAACAAAGACTCTATCTCTTCCCTACAACCTATTTTCCGATCAACTCAAACGAACAACCTTTGACCTCAAACAAATTGTATTTTCTACTTCTTTATTCCCTTAATTTATGTTTTCTCCCTTTCTTCTTTGTTTTCAAAGTTTACAAAGTTACACACAGAGAAGAACATGAAACCAAGAACCACAAAGAACATGAAAGACCTACCCCTTTTCGTCTCTTTACCTGAATCAAACTTTATTTCCCTTCTATCCTCTCTTCATTCACACAAACACAACCGATTTCAGTTTGATTCAAATTTAAGGCTCTGATTCAGAAGGGCCACCTTCTCATCACGTATTTTTTAGTCGATGTATAAATTGAGGAAAAATATTTGGGGTGAATCAAAAATGCTTTTGAAGATATCTCGTCTTGCAGGTCCAAATTGAGGTAAATGAACATCTCCTCCCTTACTCCCCTCTATGCTACCTCTATTCCTGTGTTCGTGAAATCAGTGAACAGAATTGGGGGCTTGGGGCAAATTGAGGAACACAATCCAGTCTCAAGGTTTTCGATGAAATGGAGAAGAACAACAATTGGATGCAGATTGAATCATATTTCAATTAGGAATACGCTAAAGAACTCGGTCTACAAAAATCCTTTCGTCTTCTTCAAATGGGATTTACAAACATAGAGCTTCAAACATGCAAAATCAAATCCGTTCTCTCCATCGAGCAACCCCGAGAACCAGTCGATTGTCTCTTGACCTCTCCCTCGCTCTCTCTTCGATGAATTCGTTGCCCACTGTGCCCTCGATTTTTAGATTCGTTGATTTAACTAAAGAAGAAAAAGAAGTCATCGTTGAAGATGAGGTATCGGGGGAAGTTGAAGTTGCAGGTGTGGTCAACGGATTCCAACACAAATGTGAGAGAAAGAGAGAGAGAGAGAGAGCGATTTTATATATTAAATAATTATATTTAGTTTTTTTCTTTTTAAAAAAAATAACTGAAAAGATCATAAATGGTCCCTGTGGTGTGAAATGACGAAAATGCCCCTCAATTAACGGACAAAAGTTAATGGAGTTAGCAATAACGACCATCTGTAAAAAGTTTTGAAAGCACAAGGACCATTTATGAGATTTTTAAACTACGGGGACTAAACTTCAGAATCTAGGAAAACACAGGGACCATTTATGATGTTTTTTCTATATATATATATATATATATATATATATATATATATATATATATATATATATATATATATATATATATATATATATATATATTCCTATTTAATAAATGAAACATTTTGTCCATATGTCATTTCCATCAAGCATTTTACATCAAAGTGAATTTTCAGTTATACCCCTCCTTCATTTAATATTCAATTTAATTTAGTTTTTTTTTATCTAAATCCAAATTCATTTGTGTATACATTATTATTTACAAAATAATTTTTTAATATCATGGTTTTAATAAACTATTTTAATAAAATTTTATAATTCTTTAATTTTATATTATCATTTTCAATCATCAATATATATATTTTTTTTACCCGTAGTTTCTACGTGTTGTAACCTAGTGTGTGTGTGTGTATATATATATATATATATATATATATATATATATATATATATATATAAAACTCGATTTTTGTGTGTAAAGAAGTGTAAAAGTGAATGCATATTCTAATATGACAATATTATATCTTCTCTTCTAATAAAAGAAGTCTAAATTTGCCGCTTATCACTTTTTTAAAACCCATCTTTGACATATGATATGTTGTAATTCATCATTTGTTTTGCTTTTCCGCTTATTTTAAATCTCCTTTTTATCATTAATCGAATCCTAATAAATCAACAGAACATTTTTCCGTTCAAATTGAAAATTGATCATCAATCACGACTCTATCTTTGGAGATCAAATCACCATTAACCCATGGTTTCATTATTCAAAAAAATAAACACAGAAGATCATCATTATCCATTACTCAAATGCTCACATCAATCTGATGAGGAATTGCACAAGCACACGCATCTTCTCTTCTAATAAAAGAATTCTAATTTCTTTAATGGCTTACAGTTACAATGGTGTGGTACTACCAAATATGGAGTTCCAGAAAAAAAAGAGATTATAGAAGCATTGGAAGAGTTCCAACATTGTGAATAGGGGCAGAAATTGCAGGTATGTGGAACGCTTCAACTTTTTAACTGAATTGTGGCTCATTCATTCATCATTTCTTTGTTGAATATTATAATTATTTTTGTAGGATCTTCAACTATTTTTATGTTTTATAGGTGAATTGTTTGTTACAAGTTGTATAAAAATGTCATCCTCTACTAGCTAATAGTGGTTTCGATGGTGTCTCCATGCAATATTTGTATAAAAATAGTAATATGTGAGGTGAAATTATTGTTTCTTTTTCCCTAAATAAGTTTGTAAACTTGCTTGGTCTGATTAATTTTAAACCAATAACGTCAAAAAAACATCTTTTACCAAAAGAAAATTAATTTTTCTTGGTTTAAATATGTATATTTTTAATGTAAATACATGAAAAATAATCTTACTAGTGAGAAGCAGTTTCAAAAGTGGTACATTAAGTCTCCTAAGTAACAAGAATTAAAAAAAAAATAAAAAAATAAGCACAAAGAACAAAATATAAATCCTTACTATAAAAGCTCGTTTATTTGATATGGTGATAAAACAACAACTTATAAAAGCACCAACCTTTGTCAATAAATGCATGTGCCAATTTATCAAACTTGAAGGAATAGATACCGATTACTACAAGATAAGTGCTAACAAATTGAAATATCTGCCAACACCATTCAGGTTAGTGCTAATAAACTTAACCTTAATTTTCATTGAAGTTGGATATACAATCTAATGTTCACTACGAAAAAGTACCTTAAAAAGTTTTTTTTGACAAGTTAAGTACAACATATACAAATTAAGTACAATAATTCCTAAATAATTAGTAAATTTCTTGGCATAAATCTAAGATCAAAACTCCGGTGATTTCGGATGTTCCCCGGCGGGTTCAAACGCCACTGATCGGCGTAGCTCCGGTGATCATGATCGTTTTCTCTTCTTCTTCAATCAGGATCGTTCGATTACTCTGTCATGGGTTCGAGATGGGTTTCTTCTGACAATGGTCGGATTAAGAATCGACACTCACAAGTTAAGGAAAGGATTTCAAGCCTGATTCTCATCTGTATTAGGGTAATACTTCCTCTGAATCCCAATCTTTTTACATTACTAATTTCCCAAAATCAGTAAGAACATAGGATCTGTGGAGAGTTTGTGCTAGATTAGGAAAAGTGGTCGATGTTTTTATTTCAAACAGGAAGTCACATTTAGGGAAAAGATTCAATTTTGTAAGGTTCATGGGTGTTCGTAATGTTGATAGCATGGATAAAGAACTTCGTGAAGTGTGGTTTGGGTTTTATAAACTATTTGCCTCTGTTCCACGTTTTCCAAAACCTTATTATGTTACAGCTCGCCATGCAGTTCCATTTAAGATTGAAAAACCAAGTATTCAAGTGAATTCGTATGCCAGTGTGGTTAAAGGGTCTTCTGGTGACAATAGGAGTAAAGAACTGATGACTAATGTCGTTGAATTTTCTTCTGGTGATTTTGTCATGGAGAAAAAGAAACTTGTGTGCCTAGTAAAGGCCAGAGATTATGGAACATTACCTAATCTTCGCATGTTGTCTTTTGATGAGGGTTTCAAATCCGCTACATGGGTGGTTTATGGGTCATGTTTGAGTTCAAAACAAAAGAAGCTTGTAAAAATTTCTTATCTTGTGATGCATGCAATTGATCATTGGGTACTGGATAAACGTCCATGGGGTAGGAACTTTATACCTTTGGATACGATTGTTTGGGTAGATATTGAAGGAATTCCCTTACGTGCCTGGAGCAAAACTTCATTTAGGAAAATATTTGAGAAGTGGGGAACTATTGTGCAAATTGATGATGAATTAAGTGAAGATATTTACAAAAAACGGGTCTGCATTTTAACTTCATATCTTGGCATTATTTCATAAATATTGCATGTTAGTGTGGATGGTGTGGTTTTCCCTATAAGAATCAAGGAAGCTCCTTGTTGGGCTCCCTCATTCAGTTATGGATTCAATCATAATGATAATAATGATGTTCCCATTCAAGATCTTTCTGAAGATGGTGGTAGTAACGATTCCTTGTGTGAAAAATGTGAAGATGAAGAACATTCTCCTGATCCTTTTAACATTTATGACACGTTACATAAATTGGATAAAGAAAATTTAAAGGCTAGAAAATCTGGAATTGCTAAAAAGGATATTAATCAAGGGTATTTTCGGAATTCTACTTATGAGAACTCCAAATACCTGGCAGAGAAGGCAGCGAACTCTTCTGTCCATACATTAGTCTCGCAGCATGTTGAATTATGTTTCTCTCAGCCAACAGATGTATTCCGTTTATGAAGATGCCCCTCCTTCTAATGTTGTTTGTATTTCTGATTAGCTTCATGCTGAAATTCCAGCCAGCGAAAACAACAATTGGTCCAGATTTCTGAAAATCAGCTTCAGGAGATTCGTTTGCAGCTAGATTGGGTTTTGCAGGGGGGATTTGGTAGGGTATCGGGCATACAAGATTCAGAAGAGGATCTTTCTCATCCACCGGGTTTTTCCAATCAATTTCATTCTAATTTCGGGGGTCATCAACCTTCACCACAAACATCATTTAATAACCACTCTTTTTTTATTGAAATGAAAAAAAAAAAACATTAGAAATGGGAGAAGCTTTGGGATACAATATGGAAGGATGTTTTGAGAGAGTGAAAGAGATTGTCGAAGGTCACGTTGTTAAAATTAATGTTTAATGAATTGTATCTCGTTAAACATTCAAGGAGCAACGAGCTTGGATAAAAGGATTTGGGTTAGAAATTTATGTACTTATCGATCATATTTCGGTGAGGTCGTTATGGGGTAATAGTTCTTTTGTGCAAATGTTTTCCCCTTCGCGAGGTGCTTCGGGTGGTATTCTTGCTATTTTTGGAACCCGGATTTCATTTCTTAGAAACGAGTGCTTAGTTCTGATTTCTTACTTGCTGTTGAGGCAAGTTGGGTGATCTCAAGAATGGAGATTTTATTTATTGTCGTCTATTCCCCTCAAGGAGCTTCGTCTAAACAACAATTATGGGCGGAAATTTTACAGTTGGTTGTTTCTTTCACGGGAGAATGCATCATTATGGGTAATTTTAATGAAATCTGGGATGGCTCAAAAAGAATGGGTTCTCAAATTAATTTGGCAAATGCGAGAACTTTCAATGATTTTATTTAAAACACTTAGTTGATTGATGTCCCGTTAGGAGGGCCACGGTTTACTTGGAGTGACAAATGGGGTTCCAAATTCAGTAAACTTGATAGATTCCTGGTATCGGAGGGTACTTTGTAGGATTTCCTCATATTGCGGGTTTGGTTTTGGAAAAAAATTCCAGATCACTACCCAATCCTGTTGATTGAACATCATGTTGATTATGGTCCGACTCCATTTCAGATTTTTCATTCTTGGTTCGAGTTGGAAGATTTTGATATGATCGTCCATTCCTCTTGTCTCTTTCGAATGTCAATTTAAAGGAGAGTAGTCCTTGAGTTATTTTTAAGAAAAAACTTCAATTTCTTAAATCTAACCTGAAGGTCTGGAATTCTAATACATGTGATCAATTGTCTTTGAAAAATAAAATTTTACAGGATATGATCGAGTCTCTGGATATACGCCTCATGGAGGATGATGGAGCGGCTAAGATCAGAGAACAACGGGTTCCCCTTTTAAAAGATTTGGAGGATCTACATCACAGATATCACCTAGAGACGCTGCAAAAAGCCAGGATTCATTGGAGCATTGAAGGTGATGAACACTCAGGTTTTTTCATGATGTTCTTAATCGTAGACGGCGTCAACTTCCTATTCGTGGGGTGATGGTTGATGGAGTTTAGGTGGATGAGCCTAGTTATGTTAAAGAGGAGATTCAGAGATATTATAAGTCTTATTTTCGCAGGATAAGGGGCGTTGTCCCAAGACTGATGGTAGATATTTTAGTACACTTTCCAGGCAGCAGATTCAACAAATTTAGGCTCCTTTTTCTTGTGATGAGATTAAAAGGGTTGTTTGGGATTGTGGTTCAAATAAGGCTCCGAGTCCTGATGGTTTCTCTTTTGGATTCCTTAAGCGGTATTGGGATCTTATTGAAGATGATGTGATGGCTTTTATTACGCACTTTTACCATCACTCCTCCATTCCAAAGGGGTGTAATGCGTCTTTTTTTACCATAATTCCAAAGTTAGAGACTCAAAACTAATAAGGGATTTTAGATCGATTAGCCTTCTTGGTTGCCAATATAATATTATTGGTAAACTTTTGGCTAATAGGTTAGCGGGTGTTATTGATAGTGTTGTTAGTCCGGAGTAATCTGCCTTTATCAAAGGCAGACAGATTTTAGATGGTCGTTTCTTCTGAAGGAGGTGATTGCTTGGAGAAAGGCTTCTGGGAATCCTCTTATGTTGTTCAAAGTGGATTTTTAGAAAGCCTTTGACTCTCTATCATGGGATTATCTTTATGAGATTATGTAGATTATGGGCTTTGGTTCTCTTTGGTGTGGGTGGATTATGGAGCTTTTGAGATCTGCTAGAGCCTCGGTTTTGGTTAATGGTTCCCCTACTCGTGAGTTTCAGTTACAGAGAGGTCTCCGACAGGGTGATCCATTGTCTCCCTTTTTATTCATTTTGGCTATGAAAGGTCTCCATGTTGCTCTTCTTAAAGCTAAGGAACCTAATGTGTTCAAGGGAATTTTTATTTATGGGATTGAGATGTCTCATCTTTTTTGTGCTGACGATGCAATTATGATTTCTCCTTGGGATCTTGAAAATGCCAACAATATTATTCGCATTCTTATGTGTTTTTTATGGCTTCGAGGCTTAGAATCAATTTGTACAAAAGAAAATTGATTGAAGTCAGAGTTTCTTTTAACCAGGTGGAGTGTGTGGCTATAATGATTGGGTATGCCCCAACTGATCTTCATTTCACTCATCGTGGTATCGCGGTTGGTCAGAATATGTCAAGGATTTCCTCTTGGTCTCCCATTTTGAATCGTTTTCGGTCCAGCCTTTCGGGTTGGAAGGCTAAAAGCCTTTCTTTTGGAGGTCGTCTATCCTCGGCTCTCTAGGGAGTTATTTAATGTCGATGTTCTTGACCCCAATTTCTATCATCAATTCCTTGGAGGCTTTGCGAGCAAATTTCTTCTGGGGTGCTGATATAGATGGCAGAAGTATGCATTGGGTGTGTTAGGATAGAGTTCTTGCTTCTCTAAAAGAGGGTGGTTTGGAAGTTGGTTCTCTGTTCTCATTCAACAGAGCTATGCTTTTTCGATGGCGATAGAGGTTCTTTCATTGTCCTAACTTACTGTGGGTCTGGGTAATAAATTCTATTTATGGTACAGACAGTGGATGTGGCTCTCTTATTCCTAGAATATCTTGGTTGGGTCCTTGGAATGGTATCATTCGTATGATGAGTCAACTGAGAGAAAAAGGTTAAGATCTTCAGTCCATGTGTCCTATCAGGGTGGGAGATGGGAGAATCACTTCTTTTTGGCATGAAGTTTGGATGGGAGATTCGCCTTTGTCATTTAGTTTTCACATAATCCTAGCTTTGGATAACCACAAAAATCATACAGTCAGAGATCAGATTGATGTGGGTTGGAATGTTGACTCTCTTAGACGACCTCCTCGTGGTGGCATTGAGCAAACTAAGTGGCATAGTTTACTCTCTTTGTTGCAGGAATTCCATCTTACTTTGGTTCCGGATAGATTGGGATGGCTCCTAGATGTGTCAGATACTTTCTCTATATCTTCTGTTAGAGCTTATTTAGATAGTGGTATATTGTTTTCTGGTGGTAGTGCAACACGTTGGAATAATTGGGTTCCCATAAAAATCAACATTCTTGTTTGGGGGAATCGGTTACAAAGTATTCCTACTAGAGAGAGACTTTCTCATAGAGGTATTACGGTGGATTTGATTATGTGCCCTATTTTTTTCTCTCGCGATCGAATCGGTTGATCATATTTTCAATTCTTGTTGAGAGTTTGTAGATATTTGGTCTCGTATTGCCATTTGGTGGAATATCAAGACTCCAAATCATTCCTCGGTGCAGTCTATTATCTATTGGTCAGAATCGACTTCTTTGAGGGGTGGCCAACAAAAAGCGTTTGAAGCAGTGATTTTTACAACTTTATGGATTTTGTGGAGTTTTCGTAGTCTGTGGTTTTTGAAACGGCTCTTCATAGGAAATCTAACATTTTTGATGATATTGTTCATAGGGCTTTTTTTTGGATTTCCAATAGGTGCATCAAAGCAAAAATAAGTTGGGCTTCTTGGTTACAAAGTCCTTATTCTGTTACTATTTTATTGTAATGGTTTTTTTCTAGCTCCTTGCTAGTTTCTAATAAAATCTTCGTCGTTCAAAAAAGAAACAAATGAAATGAGTATCAAGTAAATGAACCTGACCTTTGCAAAGGGAGCAACCATGTAACCTATTGGCTGCACAATGAGCATAACATGTTAATGGATTTGATGTTGCTTGTAGTTCTTTTAGTTGTAACAACGTAAATTTTCAAACAAAATTTTCATGTAAAATCACATTAATCTCATTAGCACAATCACAAAAATCCTTAGTTTATATCAAGTTATCGAAAAACAAATGTTCAAAAGTTGTTTGTATCACAATCCAGGATCCTCCAAAACAAATCTCCAACTCGTGTGTGTACAATCAAGTTGGTGCCTTCCCGTGATCCTGAAAAGTACCTGAAACACATAACACATAACATGATAAGTATGAAGCTTACCGAGTTCCCTAAAATACCACACATGACTATGCTCAAATAAGACCCTACGGTCAATGTGTCTCAGTGGAACCCTCCAGTCCCACAACTTGGGTGGACCCTCCGGTCCTAACTCCGTAAGCTCAAAATAATACACAACATAAATCACAAAGATATAATGTAGGATATCACAATACTCAATATAAACACATAAGACCCTCCGGTCACACAAAGATTATCACTCTAGGTAAGTATAGTGAGAAGACTCACCTCGTAAGCAAGCAAGTAATAATCTCGTACACGAATCTCGAACTAGCCTCCGCTTAACACATAAGATAATTATTTCTAATTAACATTTAAATCACGACTCAAAATAAACTAATTTATTCTCTCTCAAACTCTTGGAATGGGTAAAAGACCATTTTACCCCTTCATGGTCCTCATAATCCCTGCCTTGACCAAACCCTAAAGTCAGTAAAAGTCAACACTCGAGTCAACAGTCCATGTTGACATGACTCGCCAGTGCATCTATGTGACTCATCGAGTCCTCATTGTTCCTTCAGAAACGTCACGCAAAACCAACTTAAATCGTCGAGTTGTCTCATCAAC